AGTAACTCCTCTCCTCCTCCCCCCTCCTCACCATCTTCCATACGCCTACAGCACTCGACAGCAAGGTAAGTAATAACTGGAACATAGTTTTGTAGGTTTATTTAGATGAATTAGGTATAAAAATTTAGTTTGATGTGGGGTTTTTGGGGTAGTCAGGAACGGATTAATTCATTTCCCTTTATTTCTTATGGGGAAATTAGCTTCGGAATGCGAGTTTTCGGAATACGAGGCGTCTCCAGGAACCAATTAACACTTTCCGGCTCCAGGCGAATGTAAAAAAAACAACCGTAAGTGCTCCCGGCGTTTTGCCGCGTAAGCGTAAAAACAAAAATGTGTATACTCTTTTTACTCTCATGACCTTAGTTCTCGAGCTACGTATTTCATTTTGGTACCAACGTGTTCGCAATAAAATTCTCTAGAAGAACATCAGTAAAAAAAGTCACGAAACGTATAGGGATACCAGCACCAAATAAATAACTACGAAGATGACTCGAAGTGAGCGCCCAACAGCAACAAAATGTTTTTACTCTTGGGATTGTTATCACCTCCACACTTGTCCTACAGCGTTAATTTTGGTATCAATGGACTCGCAATGAAATTTCCAACACGGTGATATGAATATAAGCGTAGAATAATGATTGCGGCCCGCCCGCAAGAGTGTGGGAAGTGGTGAAATTGTTACCCGGTGACGGGACGACGCACGGCGCTTTGAAAGTTTATACTTATTTCATTTTCATGACATTATTATTCTATGTACGTCATTCATTTTTGTGTCAATGTGTTCGCAATAGAATGTTCTATGAGCCCGTAGGTAAAAAAGATCAACAAAGCGTAAGATAGAATAGCGCCAAATATAAAACAACGCTGGAACATATCAGTGAGAGTCAAACACACACGAAATGTTTTTACTTTTGTTATGTTTGTGAACCTTTCATGAACTTATTGTACCATGCAGCCTATTGGTGAGAAAGAGAGCCTCATGGCGCGCAGTTTGAAACAAACCCAAAGTAAATCGGATAAAAATTGAATTTTATACAAATATTTTAAAAGAGGACATAAGTTTATGTCCACATAGCGGAAGCGGGTAGGCGAAACAGGACGCCGGGAGGCGTCCTCATCCGCAGAAAGTGTTAAACTCTTAAACTGAGGTATGCCTGTATTTTGCATCAGTCGATGTGGGTGGAGTTCTAGGCCTACCGGGGACCATGAGCCAGAACCTGGCCCCCTCAGAGAGGCACAGGGAGCAATGGCCCATAGAATTGCACATGTGATTTGGAGCATTCTATATCTGCCATCGACCGGGACAGGCACCCAGAAAGGTAAGCGCTGCAAAACAAACCCCTATTCTGGTTGACAACAAAAATCGACAAACGAGTGGACAGAACTCCCCAAGAAAAACGAACTAACAAGCATGACGTCACACGAGCCGCTCCGCATGTCTTCACAGCTCCCCGCTCCCCGGAAGGGGGAAGGGGGAGCCCCAGACCCCCGCGCCGGCGATTCCCGCCCCAGTTCTGAGGCTGGATATCAAAACCGCAAAAAAAACAAAAATGCCGACCGGAGGGCGGGAGGGTGCTGGGGAGCCTCTGGGACTCACCCAGAAAATGGCGTTTCATTACATTCAACGCTGGTTTTCTGGGGGGAGCCCCTACGGCTCCCCGGAGCTACTTCACCAAAGACTACCTAAGAAAACAAGGGGACATACCCGGGAGGCGGTCAGTGCACCACTCCTCAACACCAAGTCGAGACAACAACCCAAGGACCCCTCCGGAAAGCAGCAGGCACATCTTTCGCCAGAAAAAGGGAGACGGTTGCAGACGAAGAAACCTATGGCCATGACAATAGGAGCCAAAAACCACTGCACCTGAGAAGAGCATGAAGCTCTGCCACACGACCCCCAGAGGCCAATGCAACAGAAAAAAAAGAGCCATAGCAAAGCAAACCTGAACCGAAGGAGCCACAACAAACCAAGGAGCAGAAAAACTGGAGAGCACCCTGTCCAAAGACCAGGATGGCACAGGCAGTACATGAGCAGGCCGGAGGTGAAACAACGCACGACAGCCTGCGAAACTGCACAGAAGGAACGTTGATACCGAAAGTTAGCAGCAGAAACCAAGGTGCCAGACCCAGGAACGGCCCCAAGCACCCCTCCATCCTCCGTAAGCCAATCCTATGACAGCCCCAGGAGGAAAAAGAAACGCAGGACCAAAACCAAAATGCCACAAGCGTGCAATTCCACCGCCACAAGTGCAGCCGACAGGGAAGGAACCCGCACAAGGAGCCGCCCCGCACCAACATCCCGCAGAAGGACAGGAGCGAAAAGACACTCATTAAGATGAGCAAAATCGCCCCCAGGAAAACAAGCAGCGCCGAGACAGCGCGAAGAGAAGAGATATGAACAAAAGAACAAGAAGGCCAAACACCCAGAAGCTGCCTGGAATAGGACCCACAAGCCCTAGAAAGGACCGGAGGGAAGCCCCACCGAACGACGACAGACGGACCATAAAACGGGAAGGAGCAAAACCGTCCCGAACCTTCGAGAACAAAAAGAAGCAAACACAAAGGACGAAGGCACAAAAACCCCGTCGCACCCGAGATGGGGACACAGAGCTAAGAACACATACAGTTCAGCCACAGTGGTGTCCTTCCATCAAGTCATACATGAAGCAGGTAATAAGCCACCGGTAATAAGTTGCAGTTGCAATGCACACCTGTTGGTCTCGTCAACAAGATGTTGCATGAGTGGCTCATCAAAATAAGCCATAAAATATTCACTTTCACTCATAACTTCACCTGTATATGGGAAAGTGGGTGCAACACCAACACCAACATCAGTATCATCAAGTTGTGGTTTGTGTGGTTACCTTGACATGCATCCAGGGCTTAGCATCCCGGCGTACAAAAATTATCAGAGTCCTCCCTCGCATATTCACCCATGCTCCTTGTACTGGCACCACCACCACTGGTATAGTAACACCACCATGGAAGCCACTAACACTGTTCATCTATGCTGCTTGTATCAGAAGCAGCATCACTGAACCTAGAAAACGATTCATCTATAGTATCACCTATTTGAATATTATTTATTATTTTAGTATTTATAATATTTAGAATATTATTGAAGTATTTAAAGATTTGTCTTCAAATATTGGAGATGACACAGGTAGTGATAATAATGGCCAGGGCGATGACTTGGGAGGCTGCAGCACGCCTGGCATTCACCCTGTACTGGATACGCTCACTGTATCGTCCTCATCTGTGCCGTATAACTTGTATCTGACAATTGTGTTAGGTCTATATCATACCTTGCTTCATTAATATCACTACCCTAATATAACAATAAGATAGTTAATAAGAAGCTATTAATATGAAGCTCCCCACAATAAGAATAAGAAGCTATCACTTCTTCAAACAATAAGGTCTGAATTTCACTTTCAGAGAGCGATCTTTTGACATCATGTCTAACAGGGGAGTGGGAGAAGGAAGCGCGTGCGCAAGTCATGGTTGCTCATTCAAAACTGAGCCTACCCACAGCCCTGGGGCATGCTAGGAATTTTCTTTCAAGATGACTCCCGTTCACTGGAGGTCTCAGGCTTCCATTTCGTACGCAATCTACCGTTATCTTGAGATGATTTGATTGAGATGATTTCGGGGTTTAGTGTCCCCGCGGCCCGGTCCTCGACCAGGCCTCCCACCCCCAGGAAGCAGCCAGTAGCAGCTGTCTAACTCCCAGGTACTTATTTACTGCTAGGTAACAGGGGCATCAGGGTGTAATTACCTAAGTGTAATTACTTAAGTGTAGTTACAGGATGAGAGCTACGCTCGTGGTGTCCCGTCTTCCCAGCACTCTTTGTCATATAACGCTTTGAAACTACTGACGGTCTTGGCCTCCACTACCTTCTCACCTAACTTGTTCCAACCGTCTACCACTCTGTTTGCGAAAGTGAATTTTCTTATATTTCTTCGGCATTTGTGTTTAGCTAATTTAAATCTATGACCTCTTGTTCTTAAAGTTCCAGGTCTCAGGAAATCTTCCCTGTCGATTTTATCAATTCCTGTGAAAGAAACATTTTGCCCATTTGTCTCCGCCTCCACCGCGGATCGAACCCGGAACCTCAGGACTATGAATCCGAAGCGCTGTTCACCCAGCTGTCAGGCGCCCAATTTTAACGTAACGTAACATAACCCAATTTTAAAATAAAACCATATTTATCATCATTTCTTAGGAACTGCATGAAACTTGGACTTGAGTTCTTTGCCTTGTTGGCATAATTATGTAATAACAATACTGCTCATGACTCATATGAGAAAACATGTGTGGGAATATGAACCAGTCTAGACAACTTAGGAAAATTTTTCAAGAATGTTTTATTGGATAGTGCCAAGTTAATACCGTGCGTGCATTTTGAATCTTAAGATATCCTAACATCGCTTATGGGTCAGGTAGCGCACCTCCATACCCTGTGTTTTGTTGGATGGCACAGTGCAGAGATTAAACCATGCAATGGTGTGTTTTGATTCACCAATCTTTCTGGGTGCCATTCCTAGGTGATGGCAAAGATGATAACCTTTAAATGTAAAGTGATCATAGGCCATTGCTTCCTTCCCTGTGCCTCTCTGAGGGGACCAGGTTCTGGCTCTTGGTCCCGGTAGGAATAAAGAACTTCATGACTGATGTCACTAATTAGTATGACAATAACTTTGATAGCTTTAGGGAGCCGATGGGGCTTCTACCAGAAAACATGAATCCGAAGGATTGGCAACCAGGGAATATAACCCTGGCATCAAGAGCTACTGAATTGGTCATACTAGAAAATAAAAATATTAAGTAGTGTTCACCATTTTAGTTTAAATTTTAGAAGCAGCCCAATTCACAATTTGACCATCCTTTACAGACCAAGGGTAAAACTTAGGTGTGAAACTAACAAGTAATTTATACAAAGTATAACAAGAATTATTTGAATAGTACTAACTGTAAGTACAATAAACTCAATACTTACCTTCTGGACAGCAAATATTCGACAAAATTTCTAATGCCAGCTGTTGAGCTAAGATAAGATGCTCAAGATCTTGTGGGGTTATGGATGGTTTAGAGCCAGCAGTAGACATAGGGTCACCTGCGTATCGATTCACTAGTGAGAGTGTGTCTGTCTCAAGCACTGTAGACAATATCTTCAAAACCAGCTGAAAGTTGTTGCCGCTAGTTGTACAATAGTTGATGTTCAACAGGACACCTGCAAAAATACCAAAATAAAGCTGTAACAAAATTTGAGTATTGTTAATAATCTTATATCCGGTAGTTAACAAAAATTATAAAAACTCAGCATTGAATGGGAGGAGGTAGCTCGAGGTCGGCCTGTGACACAGCCCTTGGTTCTATTGTAGATATGACAACCCCCCCCCCCCCCCTACCCATGAGGACCTGGAGGGAGGCAGGGTGTCAGAAACCCACCGGGGCTCACTCAGAAATTGCCATTTCATTACAATCAACTCTTGGTTTTCTGGGGGCAGCCACTTGTGGCTCTCTTGAACCTTGAGCTTTGGCTCTTATACCTTGTGGCACTTACAGAGAAGGAAATACAGGGCACTTACCAAGGAGAAGGAAGCACCGCAGGATCAAGATGAGGAAGAGACACCGGGCCATGAGACAAGACCCAAACCCGCACAAGGGGTGCCAGGGCCCTGAAACATTGACAAACTACTGGGCCGCCAGAACCCCGTTCGACCTCCAAAAACCCCGCACCCGAATATCAGCCCAGAACATGTAAGTGAACTCAGCTGAGAGAGTGGCATACTTCTGAACATCATGGATGTAAGGGTAGGCTGGGGGATTTAATAACATTGCAGAAGATTTGAGAAATAGGAGCCTTGGAACAGGGAACCAAGATGACTGGATTGACCCACAAAGCATCCACAGAAGTAAGATCTGAGGCACGAAGGTAGTAGCCAAGAGCCACCCCCGGCCCCACAAGCTAGCACGCACCGCACCCAACCCGTGTAAATGCAAGAAACTAATGGTATCTGAGTCACTCCTGGTGAGGACCATCAGAAGCGAGGAGGGCCTCTACGGGAACAACTCCCAAACAGTACAGGGACAAGAACCCTGAAAAGCCAGGGCAGCACTAGGAAGCATATCGAGAAGAAAACCCTGTACACATGCGGCTCCAAGCACTCTAAAGTCCAGGTTCATGCTACACCAACAATGTGAAGAAAGCCAACAATATTAAGAAACCACCACTTAGCTGAAACAGCAGACCAGGGGCCAGATTCACGAAGCAGTTACGTATGTATTTACGAATGTTTTTCTTATTAGCACCTTCGCAACGGTTACATCGATATTCAGATATGAATTTAAAAAGCAAAATCTTCGTAAGTACACTACCTCGATTTAAGGACGGCCTCGACCACTTGTAGCTTTATGTAAACTGGATATAACTCGATTTTTTTCTACTACACAACACGGAGGATTAATTTTTTTATAAACAAAACATTTTTAGCTGGTGAGTTTCAAAACAGAGTCCTTCTTGTTAACTACTGTATATATATGCATTCTCTGCTTGAAACTTGTAGTAAATATGTCTTTTATGATATTAGAATTAGTTTTATAATAGCAGGAAATTATACCAGTAGTTATTAAGTAAATAAACACTGGTGAACATGAAATATGAGAGAAGGTGATGAACCTGGGCTGGTGGGAGCATTTCTATCACCAAATGCTCCTGTTCACCTAGTAATAAGTATAGCTAAGGGGTGTACCTTAGACATACATACCCATTTTTAATTTATTTTGTTTGGTTTATTTTTTAAATTAAATCTGGATGAGACATAAAAGAAAACCAGCGTTGAATGTAATGAAATGCCATTTTCTGGGCGAGTCCCAGAGGCTTCCCGGAGCTATCCAGGCTGAATGGATATGTATAACTTTCTGGCATCAGTCAATATACTTGGTGTTCTTGCCTATTGAGGACCACGAGCCAGAACCTGGCCCCCCTCAGAGAGGCACAAGGAGCAATGGCCTATAGAACCCCCCTGTGTTTGAGAGCATTCTATATCTGCCATCGACCGGGATAGGCACCCAGAAAGGTGGGCGCCGCAAACCAACCCTATTGGTTGTTTTGAACAGCCCAAGGAGCCCCATTGGGAACCCAACTGGGCTACGAGTAGCCCAACTGGGCTACAAGTAGTTCAATCTGGCGACCCGGACTAGGAGCCGACAGACATTCCAATAATATGGGAAGTAGTGAAAAACCTACCCGAACCCTCGAGAACACAGAAGCAAACACAAGTCCTGAAGGCATACAAAGGTACAGTTGCACCCCAAGACCAAAAGTCACGTTGAACCCCAATAATGGGGAAGCATGACGAAGATATCCCGTCCCAAGAAAAAAAGGGGGAGCAACGGAGAAGAGCACCCACCTACAGGACAGAACCAACCGACTCAATGGACAAGGAACTGAGCCCAGGTAGGGGCCGACGCCCAACAACTCGTACGGCGAGGGGCGAGGAAAAACCTCACTCGCGTAACCGCAAGCCCCGCCTAGAGGGTAGAAAAAAAACCCGCGGGGTCCTATAGGGCCTTAGGCCCTCCAAGTCAGCCCCTCCCCAGCCCCGGGAACCCACACGACAGGCCTCGGGGCCGAGCCGTCCCCCCAAATCCCACGGCCGCACCAGAAAACCAGGGCAGCTGCGAAAATACTAAAGAAGGGAGCCCACTGGCAGACTCTTACAACACGGCATGAGGAACAGGCTTGAATGCCCCCATCACTACCCCAGAAGGGGAACTCCCCGAGACTGCCCAAATCTCAAAACCATCAAACCCCGCCCCGACCCCAAACCCACAGACAGTAATGAACTGGATGGAGGTAGGAAGGGGGGGAGGGAACCAGGAAAAAGACGAGGGAGCATGGAAGGAACCGAAGCAACCAATACCCCCAAGTCCCAATACGAACCAAAACAGGGCAGCCCGGGGGCTCCCGGGGAGCAAACAACCAAGAACGTTGCCACCACCGAAGCTCAATGTGCAACGCCCCTACTGCCTGCACCCGCATAGTCAGCATACAACTGGGTAACCGAGCCACAATGAGCAACAAAACTCGCAGGACTCCGGGTCGAAGGTGTCACCGACCCCACAGGCAGCAGACGGAGGCAAAACAGAGTCACCCTGAGACAAAGGGTGAGAGCAACCCTCAAACTCGCTGGAAGCGAGGGGGAAACTCCGGGGTCACATCCATCGAACCCGCGCGGCCCCCAAGGGTTTCCCAGGGTCCCGACCGTTTACTATAATACGACTCGCACTCGGGTAAACCCAGGCAGGGTACTGCTAATTGGCACCCAAAGCTACCAAACAACTTTCAAAGAGCTGAACCCCCAGGACGTGTACACTCATGGGGACCTAGCAGGGGGAACCACCAGAATAATACTCAGAACACAAGAAACACAGGGGGCAAGAACGAAGGCAGACCCCCACCAGGCAGATAAACAAAAATAAAAAGAAAACCCTGCAAGAGGACACGTACCCAGGCAGAACAGAGCCGGATGCCATATAGGTGAAAACAAGCTGTGTAGCACCCTGTGCCCCACCAGTGCAAAACTACCCCTTACCCTAAGGTGAACAAGGGAGACAGAACACCCAAGCACACAAAGGGCGGCCGAAAACCAAGCAGTAAACGGCCTAGCAGGGGCAGAACCCAAGGAACTTGTGGAAGGTGGCCCCAAGCCCCAAGGGCAGTACTTACAGGGCACCTAGGGAAGGTAACCCTAGGCGCATGCAGCCCGAGTACTGGAGACTCACTCTCGGCTCACGCACCACCTAGAGGACAGACACCACACTCTAGTTACAGTGCTGAAACAACTAATGGAGCGGGAGCACACAACCGGTGCCTATAGCATCAGCTGAAGAACTGATGGGTGGATAGCCGGCGTGAGAGGTCTGGGGCTCCCCCTTCCCCCTCCCGGGGAGGGGGGAGCTGCGCAGACAGCAGCGCGTTGACGTGTGACGTCATACTAGTTTGCTTGTTTTCTGTTGGAGAGTTCTATCCACTAGTTTGGCTTTTGGTAGCAATTTTAACCAGAATAGGGGTTTGTTTTGAAATGCTTGCCTTTCTGGATGCTTGACCCGGTCGATGGGAGACATAGAATGCTTCAAACCACACATGGGTTTCTATAGGCCATTGCTCCCCTTGCCCCTCTGAGGCGGCCAGGTTCTGGCCGTGGTCCCCGGTAGGCCTAAGAACTCCATACACATGACTGATGCCAAAGTCTGACATTAGCATATCAGCCTGGTATAGCTCCGGGGAGCCGGCGGGGCTCCCCCCAGAAAAGAGGGGGGGGGTAATGGTACAAGACCTCTTCCTGTTACACAATTTGGCTGTGTAACAGTAAGTAATTATCAAAAGAAGGCACCAAGCCAGGAAGGCTATGTAGCAGTAAGGCAGTGAGGTGAGGCCGCTACTTATTTGAGAAATGCGTATTTTATTTTATTTACCTTATATGCTGAGGCAGGCTATTTTATTTGAGGAAAGTTCAGCTGATTCCTCAACATTCAGCATGGAACAAATTTGTGTCCAAGACCTCTTCCTGTTACACAATTTGGCTGTGTGTAACAATAATTATCAAAAGAAGGCACCAAGCCAAGAAGGCTATCTTGCAGCATTGTGTGTAACAATAAATCAATTTTTGTTACAGAGAACCACTTGGTTTCCGAACCCCTTGGGGACGAGACCCGTCGGTTAACATGTAAGTTCGTTTACGAGAAATAGAGGGGAAAAAATAAACTAGAAATGTAAAAAGAAATTGTTCTGAAAAATTTACGAAAAAATTCTAGGGGAAAAAATCGACAGGTTCATAGCGTAAATGCGACCGTGTTTTGTTTGTACTCACCAATAAGTGAAGTCCTGGTCCGCTTTATAAAAGTCCTTAATTGTTCCTAACTGATTATTAAGACGACTGGCAAACATCCTCTAGATGTTTCCTGCCAGCCTGCAGGAACATCCTGCCAGCCTGCCTGCCAGCTTGCCTGCCAGCCTGCCAGCTTGCCTGCCAGCCTGGAGGCACATCCTGCCAGCCTGCAGGCACATCCTGCCTGCCAGCCTGCAGGCACATCCTGCCTGCCAGCCTGCAGGCACATCCTGCCTGCCAGCCTGCAGGCACATCCTGCCTGCCAGCCTGCAGGCACATCCTGCCTGCCAGCCTGCAGGCACATCCTGCCTGCCAGCCTGCAGGCACATCCTGCCTG